TTGATGGATGCTGGGATAAAAGTCCAATAGTTTTTCAGTAAAGCAGTGGTTGGAGGGGTAGATTCGGTTCTATGGAGAAGGGAGGAATGCTTGAAATGGTAGCTTAGCCGAAGCTTTCTTGGGTCTAATTCTCGGAAAAGAGTAGGAACTTCAAATTCGGCGCTTTCGACTAAATTTGTGCCCATTGTTCCTCTCTTTCAAATTTTACACCACTCTTCTAAAATTCTAATGTCAGTTGTTTTGTTGCGCAAATTACGATTCTTTCCGGGTTCTGGTATCACTCGTCATTCTGTCCCTGGTTTTTGTACCAGCTGATCTGCCCAAGCTTTTCTGCCGGCTGTTGCTATCACATAAACTCGCTATCAATTGTTAAATTTTGGGGCTAATTCTTACTCTCTTCTCTGATATTGCTCTTTGTTTCTTCTAACTCAGATGCCAGTTGCTTTCCAGCCAATATATTGAAAAAATTTCCTGTTTTTTTTTTTTAGTTTTTGCATATAGTCTCAGAATAACCGGAATATTGGACTGGGAATCAAAAAATCTCGAAAAAAGGAGCATGCGTTTGGCAATCGAACAATGTCAGAAAAAAGCACTCATCTAGGCATCGAGAAATTTCAGGACAAGAGCCCTTGCTTAGGAGTCAGAAAATCTCGGAAGAGAAAGGATAATCGTCTTGGGGTCGAAGAAATCTCAGAAAGATCGAAGTGCTCGTTTGAAAATCAAATGGCAGCGCTTTTTTTTTTTTTTTCTTTTTTTATTAATACTAGGCCCACGGTCAGCAAGGTTAACAACAGTTCCCTCCTCCAGAAATTGTTTCAGAAAAAACTTAAAGATGGCTTTTTATCTTTGATATTCAATTTCTTCGGTGAACGACCATTTACCAGAAAAACAACGGCCTTCATGCAAAAAACTGATAATCATGCATGCTAGAAGTCCATGCGGCCCCACAGTGCAACATTTTCGTCCCAGCTAAAGTCCTTTCCCCTGCATGCGGGAAGAGGTCTAAATGCAGTCTGTGTGAGTCTAAGTGTTAAACTTCAGCGTGGAGGCCATTCTTGCTGTTAGCGACCTGAAAGATTAGCGCAAAAACGCATCACGCGCCGGCAAGCCTAGTGTGTTACAGTATGGGTTTAGTAAAGTATTTAAAATGCAAAAAAAGTAATTATCAGTAAAGTATATTTAGAAATGTTATGATTGAAGGATTAAAATGTATGAGAAATTATTGGTTTAGCTCAGTTTAAGAAGTTTCGCGCAATATT